GCAAGCAGTTCTAATCCACCAGTTCTTTCGCAGGAGAAGGAGAGGCAATTTCCTCCCGTGCAATTAACTGCCTGTGAAAACCTGCAGGAGGGTCAGCTATGGGTTGGTTCTGACTCCATGGTACACAACAACAACAACACAACATGGGTTTGTTTACGAAGTTTGTATGCATTGTGTTTCCCACTATTCTTCACTGTGTTTCAGAAAATCATTCTCATGCATTATGTTGAGTGCATTTTCATTTCTCCTCCACAGTCAAAACTTAGGACTGGGCTCCGCTCCCCTTTCTCTTAGGAGCAGGAGACTCATTTATACCAAGTGAGGATTAGGCTCTTGGATGGTAGAATTTAGAAGTTCCCCTCTCTTTAAGAGTGGGAGAGAATCATTAAAGAAAAGGAAACCACAACCTGAGGCCCATAAGCATCTTATTTGTAACATGCACAGGTGCCCCAGCTAACTGAGGATTGAGTGCAGTTTTAAGCTGCCCAGTGGTCAGCTCTGCTCAGGGGTGTCTTGATGGGCCTCTGACCTCGTCAGCCCACAGAGGCCCCCTTCCCATCGCTCCTTGTCCCCTGCCTCTCAGCACACCTTCAGAATCCTTCTGCCCTAGGACTGCTCTGTGCTGCTTCTTGTTCTGAGGGTTCTCTGACTCTCTTTGGCCAGGTCTGTGCTTAGCCTGAGGCCCAACTATAAAGGCTTCTCAATGGGCCCTCCATCAGTCTCGTCACTGAGCTCCACTCCCTGACGCCAGCTTGTCTAGCCCATGTGGGTCCCAATGATCTCCCATCGGGCCTTCCCTCTTGGACCCTCAAGGGGCACCATCTGGTTTCACACATGACTGTGAGGTCCTGCTGGCTTTCCTGGCACGTGGTCTACTGTATGTGTGCGTTGATGAGCGGTTGGCGTTTATTTGCCCCAACTCCCTTTGCTTCATCTCAGTGAAGTTGTTTTGGCTCTGGCTTCTCTGCTCTGACGTGGGGCTGGCCGTGCTCCCTCGCTGCTGTTCGCGTGGTCAGGCACCAGCACCAGGCCCTCTGAGCTTGGAGTCATACAATGACCGCCAGCCTTTCCCTCTTCCACTCAGGCACTGCCACTTCCTGTTCCTACCACGTGTGAAAGAGTACCAACACCCAAGACAGAGGACACCTGGCCACTGGGAGCCCCAGGTTACTGCTGCACCCCCACAGGCAGGATTTTGGATGATATTGCCTTGGGAGGTCATCCTTTCACAGATGTGTCAGGATTTATGAGCACAGTATTATTTCATCATCTTTAACCTGATTTCCATGTGGGAGGCTGCCCCTCATCTCCATATTTCATCATCTTTATTCTGGTTTCTATCTGGGGGACTGGCTCCCCCATCTCCAGTTCAATTGTGTTAAGAGGAAACTCCAGGCTGTGGGGGGTTGGACAGGGTGAGGAGCCTGAAGCAGCAGAGAGGAGAGAAAGGGACCTCGTGTGTCAGCAGGGGCTGCTGAGGGTGGGGGAAGACAGGGGGGAAGTGGAGAGGGTAGATCAGATGTTGGCATGCTGGGGTGGACTAAGAGAAGGACGATGACCTGGCTGAGCCACGTGGGTGGACCTCACCCCGGAAGGGTTTCAGAGGAAGGGCAGGAGGCAAGGAGGATGAAAGGGCAAGTTTGCATACCAGGGGGCCAGCAGGACTGAGGGCCAGGGAGGATGGGCACAGGCTATTATAGGACCTCAGGTGGGAGATTGAGGAGGAAAAAGGTCCAGGACTCCAAGGCTGGAGGTGGGTCTCTAACAAGGGGTACAGGACTGAGCTGGGGCTGTAACCTGGGGTCATATGCCTCATTTCGTGTCTAGAAGGTCCTTCGCTGACTAAAGTGTCACCCCCAATCCATCCCTGTCTCAACCGGATTCTATCACCTGCACATGTGCACAGACCCTGCCCCCTCCCTCACTAAGGTTGTCCTGCACCCCTCCCACCCCCTCGGGACACTACACAGGGGAGGGGGAAGCCTGGAGGTAGTCTCGGGTGCATGGGGAGGACCTCCCCGGCCCCACGCCAGGTGAGCTCTGGGCTGCGTGGGCGTACTGCGTTCCCGTCAGGCGCCAGGTCAGCCAGCCCAGACCCTCTGCCCAGGGCTCTGACGTCCCCCAGTGGAGACAAGTTCAGGCCCTCGCCGGAGAACTAATGACACAGACACATGACTATAGCCCTTATTGTTTATTTTTCAATAAACAAGTTTTTTGCATGTCTGGCAAAGTTGAACAGAAAAGCTAAAAAGAGCGCCAATGACATTTTTCTTTTTAGATCATTTTGATATTTTTGGTCACGCCCTCTGAATTTGGAAACCGAATTGGCTGATGCCTTGGACGCTGTCTTTGAACTTCTCCATTCGAGTCGTAAACTACAAACCACACCGGGCACCAGAGAGGTGCCCAGGCAGTCAGAAACGCGGCACTCTCGGCAGAAATGGTGAACCCCAGGCGTGGTGGTCCAGCTTCTGCTTTACGTGAAGACCGGCGAGTCTGTAACGCTGCTCAGACGGCATGAGGGCCTGGGGCACAGGTGAATTTGGGAGGGTGGCCGCATTGGGTGCTAGTGAGCCAGAGTTTGGCTCGTGGGAAGGGGAGATGGACTATTCCAAAGGGGGCGTCTGTTAGGCCTCACAACTGACAAGGTGCCTGCAGGGCTGGGCTTGGGGAACACCTGGGTGCCCTGCTCTCTTCCCAGATGGCCCCTCCTGCACACCTGTAGCTCCCACACACCGCCTGGTGTGCTGGGATGGGACAGAGGGCATGGAAATGAGCAGGGCACCCCTCCTGGGACTTTGTCGCCAGAGGACGTGGCCTTTCTCTACAGCATGTAGATCAGAATTGAGCCAAGAATTTGGTCATTTCATCCAATGGGAGAAATTTAGCCTTTGGGGAAACTGAGGCCAGAATCGTTAACAGACTGTCACGATCTCACGCTGAGAGAGGTCAGGAGGGGACTAGATGCCTGCCTGACACATACCAACAGTTCGTAAATTTTTTTTTGTCTTTTAAATTTTTTTGATCTCTTAAAACAAACTAAAAATATGAGATGAAGATATCTGGGGAGGAAGACTAGCGGGGTCTGGGAGGTGGGGTTATCAGAGGCTCAGGGATGGAAGCCAGAGGTATGGGGGGCAGGGGTCCAGGGTGGAACAGGGACTGGAGAGGCCTTGGCAGGAGCTCTGGGGTAGGAGGGGGCCTGGAAGTAATGATGAGTGAGGTGGTGACTTCGGGAGTGACGGTTTTGGGCAGGTAAAGGAGTATGTGGCATCATCAAAAGCATGATGACAAGAAGAGGACCAGGGTCTTGGAAGTGGGGCTGGGTAGGAAAGGCAGAGCCTTGGGACAGGTGGACCCGGGGACTGATGGGCAATGGTAGCTTAGTTTTGATGGAGACTCGAGCGACTGATGAATGGCAGGTGATTTGTGTGTGTGTGGTGACAGATGATGATGATGGCAACTCATAAATAAATAAATATTCAGAGCAAGGCAAACACAGCAGGTAATATTCAATAAAGCTAAGGCATAGGGTTTCCTATCCAAATAATTTAAGAAGCAAAATATTCCTGACTGGTATCCAAGAGCTGTTTAGCTGCCCAGCCCGAGGGCGGGAAAGCTCAACAGAGCTTGGTCCCATCTCTTCCTGTTTGTTTGTTTTTTATCTTTTTTTTTCCTCTTGCCAAAAAGATAGATGGTCTTTTAAATGAAAAAAAAAAAGTGTCAAAATCCAAAAATTCAAAAGCTGGCTAGGTCTTGGGGGACCTGAGAGTTGCTAATTGAGCAACGCAAAGATAAACCCTTGACTAGGTAGTTGCATTTCTCTGTTGAATAAGGACAAGACTCCACACTTCGCACTAAAACCCTGTGAAAACCTTGGGGGACGGACTGTGCTGCTGTCCAGAAGGGGCCAGGGCACTTGGGATTCAAAGTGCATGGACATTTCTAGGGCGCTTGCTAATCTACTGGATAAAGAGTTAAGGACAATATTGGAGTTTTGGTGGGTGGGGGGTTGTTTTAACAACAGCCCCAAATCACACATTGTGACTCAAAGGGACCAACCGCTTTTCTGTCCAGACGTGTGTGGGCCAGAAGGCTGTCCACGTGTGGGCAGAAGCGGGCAGGACTGACTTCAACACATCAAGTGAGTATCCAGGATAGGCCAAAATACCTTTCCTATCTGGGAGGAGACTCATGGCTTTCTGGTCCTGCTGTATGTTAATCCTCAGGACCATTTGGGTTCGATACCCCTCGTTTCAAACTTTCAAGCAAGAGAGGGTTTTGATGTTGTGATGGTTTTTTTTTTTTTTTTTTTTTTTGCCTCTAAGCCCTTCCTTAAGAAGGAGAGCTGAAGAGGTGGACCCAGGAGGAATTGGGGACTCGCCAAGGATCTCACAGCAAGTTAGTTGGCGGGGCTGGGACAAGGTCCGGGGCCCCCCAGCAGCCAGTCACCCTGGGTTCTCTCTGCTGCCACTCGGCCGCTGCACAACCTCAAAGCACTAAGGGTCGCGGTGTTGGAAGCGTTGGTATGCGTGCGAGGCGGATGTGGCGAAGAGAGTAAAGAACGAAAGTGATTCGAGCCCTTGGCACAGTGAGCGGTCATCGCACAGCACTCGTAGCGGTTTCAACAAGGACCCTGCCGCCGAGGCCCCCCGGGAGGGACCTCGGCAGAGAGTCCTGGTTCTGTTACCATGTTTTTTTTTTGGTCTTTTTGGTATTTTGTCATATTTAGTTTAGAATAACATACTTATCTCTGATTAATTTCTGATTTCATTTATCGAGCATGCATTAATAGAAGGGGGGGCGAGGTGGGGAGGGCGGGGTCAGCCAGGCAATCACACTTGTCACGCGGCGACACAGACACAACACAGGTAAGCGCAGCGTTCACCAGATTCAACACGAAGGAAAGCAAACTCCACCACAAACACGAGGCCAGACCGCATAGAGTGGGCCCTGCGGAAGCGTGAGGATACAGAGGGGCCTGGGGGCGGGCGCGCGGCTCAGATCTCCTCCTCGCCCGCCTCCTTGTTGAAGGTGGTCATGTGGATTTTCTCCGGGAAGATGATGTTGACCGCCAGGTCCTCGCCGCTGCTGGCCTGCAGCAGAAGGCTCTTCTTCTTCCGGAGCATGTGGCTGTAGCGTAGACTGGACACCCAGGCCTCGCACTTGTTGATGAAGATGATGCCCACGGTGGCCAGCACCACCAGGCCGGTGAGCACGCCCAGGATGGTGAAGCAGACGGCCTGCCCCTCGGTGAAAATGGGGGAGCTCTTGTTGAACTCCTTCATGGACACCTTGAGGATGCGGTGCTCGGGCTGTGGCACCCCGGGGGTCAGGCGGTAGGTGAGCCCGTAGCTGCTGGGCAGGCTGCTCTGCGGGGGCCCCGCCGCCCGCCTCTTGGCACAAGTGGGCCCTGTGAAGTCGGGCTTGCACAGACACTCGTAGCTCACCTGGCCGTGCTGCAGGCAGGTGGCCCCGTTCAGGCAGGGGCTGCTGGCGCAGCTGGTCACCTGGCGGCTGCAAGTCTTGTCGATGAAGCCGGGTGGGCAGCGGCAGCGGAAGTCGCCCCCAATGTCGGTGCAGACACCATCATTCTCGCACGGATTGGGGGTGCAGCTGTTGGCCACAATCTCGCAGAAGATGCCTGAGAAGCCAGGGGGGCACAGGCAGGAGGCGTGGGAGGCCCGGCCCTCATCGTCCACGCACGTGCCTCCGTGCTGGCACGGGGAGCTGTAACACAAAAGCGACAGGTGACGGGCCCTCGGGGGCTGGGCTAGAGCACAGCAGGGGGTGGTCCCACCAGGGAGGGCTCGGTGTGCCAGAGGGTGGGGTGCACACCCCCAGCAGGGTGTGGACCTCACCCCCTCATGTTCCCAACCAGGAACACACCTGACCTTTCCATGCCAGTGACCCAGAACCTTCACCAATCAGTGGCACTGGATGACGCATCACTGAGCACAGGGGGAAACTGAGGCTTGGACAAGCTGCCGGCACCCCTCCCTAGCCACCCAGGGGACTGGGCTTGGCTTTCTCCTACGACGCCTCCCACCTCTGCTAGCTTTGCCACCACGACCCCTCTCACCCTCCCCTTCGGATTTCATTTTTCTTTTCTGGTGGAGTGGACCCTCAGGCTAGTATGTGGGGACCCTTGGGGGCTCTCCTGGTGAAAGGAGCCTGCTGTCCACCTCGCTCGGCTGCCCAGGCCAGGCGGTGTTAATAGCTGGCCCATTCACTGAGTGCAGTTTGCAGACCGAAGCTGTTTGCCCAGAGCGGAGCACACAGAGCATTAACGTAAGTGCTTTTAAACGAGCGGGCCCTTTGTCATCTGATAAATGCCAAAACTCTGGGAAGAGAGGGGCGATAAACACCAGCAAGCCGCAGGCGGCTGGGCTGGGCACTGAGGGAATGCCAGGGTGCAAGGCTCCGTCTGCCCGAGGCGACACCAGCTAGTCTCGAGGGCTCGCCCCGCTTTCAGCCTTCCTGCTAAAGAGCAGAGTGGGAGTTCCTCCACCCCACCCATCCTTGCAGCCGGCAGAGCCCTTCGCTCCAGGTCCAGGGCTGGATCTGCTTTGGACTCGGTTTCAGATCCAGCCTCTCCCCATCCCTCCTAGCCTCAGTTTCAGCTCCTTACCAGGGCAGGGCAGAAAGGATGCAAAACAACAGCCCTGTGTCTGCTGGCCCCCTCTCCACTGAGGCACTGCCTCTAGGTCCACGGCCTCTCCTTGCTGGCCTGTCAGCCCCTTCCCCAAGCATCACAAAAACCCACCTGCTGGGCTCGCCAATTCATAAACACCCCGACAATCAGGTCAGGGGTTTCACATACAGCCCTGCTGGACAATGCCCTTCTGGCCGGACACCTTTACAAAACCCTGAAGCGCCAAGCTGTGGTCCCCTGAAAGCCTAAGCGGCTGCAGGCACACACAGCAGGACTCGGAGCATCCTGGAACACATCACCTGCTCGAGCCTTTGAAAAACTAGGAAATGTCACTGGGCGACCCCCTCCACAGGGTGGCCAGAATGGCACTCACGTGGTCTCAGTCAGGTGGCAGGTCCCACAAGGGCTGGGATGAAGGGGTCCTGGGGGGTATGAGGTGGCACTCACCCGTCCCAGGGCAGGAGGGATATTTACCCATTGATGACGCAGGGCCCGGGGCGCTTCTCCTCACAGCGGTCCCCTTGGAAGCCAGGGACGCAGGCGCACTTGTAGCCTCCGACCTCCAGGTTCTCGCAGGTGGCGTTGTTGGCACAGGGGTTGGAGCTGCAAGGGCGCGCATCTGAGGGGCAGAGAAGAGCAGAGCACCTCGTCATCCCAGCTCTGGGGAGGCAAGGGGGTCCTGGGGGCAGGTGGGTAGATGCAGAGGCAGGGCGGGAGGACTTGAGCTGCCTAAATGGTAACTGTGGGTGAGTCACCAAGTGGGGGCCCAAGCAGTGCCCTCTCAACCCTGCGGAGTAAACTGAGGCTCAGTGAGCTGAAGGGGCTTCAGATAGCAGAGAGGAAACTGTGCCAGTGAGGGCCACGTCATCAAGGTCCGGCAGATGTGCCCCTCCCCTCTGCTGATCTGGAACTGCCAACTGCCACTCGGCAGGGACAAATATCCGTCTTCAGGCTCTTGTGGTGGTGAAATGATAGGAAAGGACAAAGTTTCGAGTCCTCTAGCCAGAGGCTGACACACTCTTGGGCAGCTAATGGGGAAATCACCTGCCATTGGTGTTTTTCCACCAGAAAGGGCTGGGGAGGGGCGATATGAGGACCTCCTAGCTTAGCCTGGCACGGCCGCCCTCCCCCACCCTGTGTGGGGTCTCTTTTGTGTTCACAGGCCCTCATCTAAGGGGTCCTGACACCTCAGGGCTGTGTCTTTCAAGGGCTGCCAAGCATGGCCCCATCTGTACCACAGCACCTCCTGCATTCACACCATTATTCTCTCAGCTGACCTGAACAAAGGGACCGGAGGGTCGGCCAGGGAGGGGCAGCTGTTCCCCTCTCCATGCCTCAGTCTCCCCACCTACACAAGGATGTGTCTCTCACTGCCCACTCCCTGGGGGAGCTCTTAGCCTGGGTTTGCTAAGAGCCCAGCTACTGAGCTACCAGGCAGGTGGTCAGGCCTGGGGTGGGGGGATCCCCTGTTGCTGACTTCTCCCTTTTTTGTGAGACCGAGGTGGGGGACAGCCACGCCACAGCCGACACAGACTGGGGTGGGGTGGGGGGCAGTCAGGGCTACAAGTCTCCCTGATGCACTGGCGGGTGCAATGAGACAGAAAGAGAATTTATCCTGTCGCTACGGGACAACACTGCAGCCACTCAGCACAGGCTACCTACCCTGTGACCACAGCCCTGGGCATGAGGGTTCTCACTAAGCGCTGGCCAGCTGCCCAGCCTGGCCCTCAGCCTCTCCCTGGACCCCCCAGAGTACGGGCTGGGGCTCAGGTCCCTTTTCCCCTCTCCTGGGTTTCCAAAATAAAAGTGTGGGGTGGGAATCCGTCGTCACCAGGCAGCAGCCCAGGGTGTCTGCTAGGGACAGCCGCTGTGGACACCGGAAGCTCCGGGCTGGGAAGGGACAGAGTCTTTAATCTAGTGCCGTCTCCTCTCAAGCCTGGACCTCCCAGCAATCCGAAGCCTGTGGAAGGGGGGTCAGCCAAGTCCCCCTGCCCTGGGAAGGTGGCTTTTTCTCCTGGAAAATTCCAGCAGGGTGTCCTGGAACTCCAGAATGGAGGGTGGGATCAGCCCTTGGCCCCATTCCAAGTGTGGCTTTGCTGCTGAAGGGGTGCAGCCACAAGGGGCGAGGGGGATGCCGGCAGAGCATGAGTCGGCGGCAAGGGCCTCCACACAGCTGGTGGGGGGGAGCCAAGAACCCAGATAGTTTCTTGGGGGTGGGAAGGGGCTAGAACAAGACCCTTTGGGGCTGCTTCCAAGGTAAGGCTCAAACTAGTCAGGGGGGAACAAGCCTGTCCTGGGGACCCGTGGGCGTGGCTTTCCGTGCCACTTCTTACATACAGAACTGTCCCCTCCTCTGAGCCTCAGTTTACCTGTTTGTACTATGAGCACCTGATAGTTATTAAAAGGCTATTTCATAGCCATGAGAAGAGCAGCCACCCTCTGATTTCTGGGGACACCGCTTGCACACTAGACCCCCCCATCCCTCAGTGCCCCCAGGGCGTGTCTGGCTGGGCTCTGCTAAAGGGACGGGGGGATGCAGCTGACCCTGTTGCTGTATTTTGTTTGTTTGTCTTTTCAAGGTCTCAGGACTGCTTTTGCCAAATGACAAGGGGCTTTGTGGACATTCTTGTATGTGGAAGGGGAAAGGTCGGTCAGCACACACTTGTCGGAATGCAGGACAAAGGGGGTATAAGTGAGCAAAATACACAGGTGATATTCATTCCGACCCTGTGCCCCCCAAGGCTCCTGCCAGCACTGGCCTCCCCTCAGGCCTCAAGCCGGCCCAGCGCCCGAGCGTGTTCTCAACGCCCCCCACTTACTTACCAGTTGGTTTGCTCTTTGCTGCCCTTGCCCGTCCAGCCCTCTGTGTGCTCATCTGGGCTTCTTAGATCCTCTTCCTGAGCTCTAGTGACCTGGCCAGATGCCTGTGGTCCCCACCCTCGGGGTGCGTGTGTGCCTATTGCTTTGTGACTCTTTATTCACCCGAAAGCCCCCCAGGGCTTTCTCTGGATGCTGATGGCACAACACTGTGTCAGACAGGTGCCACCTCAGAGAAGGCTCTAGAAGAATGTTAAACCTGGGTCCCAGGTGTTCCTATTACGCCAGAAAGGTAGGGAAAGGACAGCCCTCCCTGGCTGAGAAGAGGTAGTTGGGACAGAGAGGCTGGGGTACGGGTGAGGGGCTATGCCCACCTATGTCACAAAGGTGTCCCTCCCAGCCTTGGTTGCAAACACACTGCCAGGGCTCGAAGCAAATCCCATTGACACAGCCAGGAAATGGTACGCAGTGGTCACACAGGGGGCCCTGCCAGCCGGGCTGACATCTGTGGGGAGGAGAGATGCAGACACATGATGGGGGGCTCAGCCTCGCTCTCAGGGTTGAGGTGTTTGCATAGTGTCAGCCTGGGGGGGGGGGTCCCAAGACCCATCCCTGTTATCTGATGAAGAGGTTTAATGAGAGGGCCCAGTGAGCAGCAAATACAGGGTCCCTAAAAAAACTGCGTCACTCTGGCTCCCTCATAATGACTGCAGTGGTCTAACCCAGCGGGGGCGCTGACTGGATGCTCCCCCTTCCCTCCTCCCTTTCCCCCCACGCCCAGTCTTCTGCAGAATCAGGTGGCTGTTTGCCGCAGCCCAGAGCCCCCCTTTTTCTCTGACACTGAGCACCCCCACCCCCAAGGGTTCTGCCATGGCTCCCTGCCTCTTGGGATCTGCGCCATCACCTGCAAACGTTGTCATCCTCGCAGGACCCGTGGACCGGGTGACAGGCCGGGGAGCAGTTAGTATCATCACCTGTGGCATAAAAAGATAACACAATCACCCCTTGAAACCCCCGTGTCCCCCCAAGCCATCCACAGCTTCCCTCGAGGGAGCCAAGGGTCCTCAGAGGTGCACCCACTGGGTGCCTTCACGTGCATGGATGGAAGGGGGCTCAGGGACACAGGGACAACAATCTCCATCATGTTTCTTGTTACGGGGTGACCATGGCATACACTGTCATTTCCGGGAGCCGGGAAAGCACCTCTTCTCCCCCCAAAGAAAAACAAAAACAGTAAATCCTAAGAAAAGGTAAGTGGGAATGGGAAGCCCGTGTGGGGAGATTTGACCCCCTGGGGTTTCAGCAAGATCCTGGCCCCTATAAAGTGAGCTATGTATATGGGGTGAATTTTCAGACCTGGCTGAGAAATCCAGGCAGCTCAAATGGGGGGGGGCTTGCAAGTGTCTGGATTGTATGTTCCCTGTTTGTTTTAAAGATCATGCCAGTTAGACCTGGCCCCGGCTCAAATGGCCCCAGCCGCCCCTCCCCAGACTTTAAACGAAGAGGATTCAGAAGGGCTTTTGCAGAGCAGGTTGGGACCTGATCTTGTGTGACAGGTGCCTATGGTGTGCACCTACCTCACTCCACACAGCTTTGCAGACAGCCCCCCTCAACAACCACTGCACCGCGGGGTGGGGGTGCCGCAGAGAGGGGGCACCAGAGGCAGAGCTGCTGCAGGCAGAAGTGGCGCAGCCCCTCACCACAGGAGGAACCACATTACGCACTTGGGCCCAACCTGGGCTTTTGCTTGGGGATTTAGGAGTATGACAGCAAAGTCTTTGCAGTGGCCCCAGATAATTGTTCCCAGACACGCAGAGACACCCCAAAGTTCCACCTCAAAGCAGCTTTGTCCATAGGACACCCCACGTCACCTCATTTCTCCATCCTCCTCTCCCAGAGCATTCACACCACTCTCTGCGCCACTTCTGCAGGCGGGAAGGGGCTAAGGTCCCATACGCTGTCTGCTCGCACCCGCCCCTCGGGACCCCAGGCTCAGGCTTGGCACGTGGGGGTGGCGAGAGGGCGAGTGTAATAGGAGGGCGAGGCGTGCGCAGGGCTGGACTTAGGGTTAGGCGGGACGGCGGAGCTGGGGCGCACGGGACGGGGTGCGCGGGGGGCCGACGGCCAAGGAGGGCGTCGCAGGCTTCCCCAGAGGGGGCGCGAGCCAGGCCACGGGAGACTCACCATGGGTGCTGTGGCCGAAGGCCAGCAGGAGCAGGAGGACGCGCGGGAGGACTGCGGTCACGATCATCGCGGGGCGGCCGAGGGCGCGGTCCCGGCAGCGGCGGGGGAGCAGGGCCAGCTCCGGGCGCCGCGCTGGGCTTCTGGTTGCGGATGCGGAGTGGGGAGCGGGTGCGCTGCGAGGGGAAAGCCAGGGCTGCACCGGGCCGCGCGATGCGCTCTCTGCCGCCGAGTGTGCCGCCGCCGCCGCCGCGCCGCCCTTTTCGTACCGCCCCCCCGCCCCCGCCCCCGCGCACGGGGCGGCGCCGGCCAGTCCCCGAGACCCCCGCCCCTCGGGGCCCCCCCTCCACTGCGGCGTCCGGAAGCCGCTCGCACATGGGGTGTACACTTGGCACAGGGTAGAGGTCCCTGCGCACGGCTACACACGCTGCGCACACAGGATACCTTAACACACACACACGCAGGACAGGTCACTCCCCAAGACCTTGGCCAAAAGACACTGCCCGTACTTAGAAGGCAAAAAACAACCCCTAACACTTACTGCCAAGATCCCAGCACACATGTCAGCAGTGACATACCCAGACCAACACACCAGGCACACCGGAAGCAAGCGCACCAAAGCATACGCACCTAGAAAAACACTTGTGTAAAGCCTGGTGCGCGCACACTCTGGCCAGAATGATGCAGGGTGAACGCAAACACTCAACACCCTACAGCACGCGCACACACACCTTGCAGTGCACACACTCCAACACGCACAGACACAGTGCGTCACAGTGTAGGCTCCCGACACAGCCAGGAGGCCACAGGCCGCGCCGCAGGCAGCCAAGGTGAGGGGAATCCACTTGTGAAACTCTCAATTTCTTTGATGCGTTTGGAAGCATACAGACACGCGTGTGCACATGCAGATAGATGCCCTTGTGCGTATATTATCACATGCCAGTTGAGCACAACCAGTACCGTTGTCGTACAAAAACACAAACAGGCCGCCAGAGCGAGTTCTTCTGTGAGCACAGACAGCCACATTCACAAGCAGCTAAACCTGCTCTCACAAAGTCTCAGCAATGAGCTTTTGTCCACACGTCCAAATGGTCACCAGACATGAAAAACGCCTCTGCGCGTGCGCATAATACACACCGGCCAGGTGGTTCTAACCACTGTTCTCAGTGACCCCGTGGGGAACTCACACACGTGCACACATGCTCACACGCGTAGGCGCTCTTGAGCGCAGTTGCACATGGAGCACTTAGGATGCTTTCCAGACTGACTGGGACACCCCTAGCCAAAGGTGACAAGGATGTGGAGGTGGGGGGATGCTGTCACTGCCTCTCCCCCTTGGCCCTGAAGCCAACCTCTGCTCCAGAAGCCCCAGGTAAGACTTGACACCCCTGCCCCTTCACAAGAGTTGCAGGAAGCCCACCTTCACCTCTGGATTCTGGATACTCAGGAAGGTGCAGGGAGACACGGACAGAATTAAAGCAGATTGACCCAGCCTGTGACATCTACTGGGGAGGGGGACCAGGAGGGGATACCTCTGTGGGTCCTCTGTGTAACCAGGGCTGACTGGCTGATTTGCATGTAGTTTGCATTGTAGTTCACAGGCTCTCCTTTCCCGAAGGTACTGGGGGGGGGGGAACACCCCTCTGTCCCTTGGTATCTGCTTCCAGAAATGAGTGTGAGCAAGAGAGGAACCCTCTCCCTCTGACCATCTAACCTGACCCAAGAGACTGGTGGCCTAGTGGGAAGGTGCTGCACTGCCCTCAAAGGCAGTTCGAATTCACCAGCTGCTCCCAGTAGAAGGATGGACTATCTCCTCTGGGGCAATTTACTTCCTCTGAAAACTGACTAGAAGCTATGAGTCAATTCAGAGCGGCACACGACTACAATAAGTGCCTGAGGATACACCTGCCATCCTGGAGTGGTGGTGGCCAGGTGCACCGGCCCAAATTCCAGGGCACAGAAGAGCTGGGACTGGACATATGAGTGACCAGAGGTGGCTGGAAGGGACGCCCACCTGCTTTGGGAAATTCCCACTGCTTTGTGAAACATTGTCTTCCTTTTGGTTTTCTGAAGGAGACTCACCTACCTCATGCCCTGGCGTTAACTTTGACTCCAGCTTCAGGCGACTCATTCCCAAGTGAAGAGACTGAGTCCAGACATAGATAGTTTATTGTTCAGGACGCCAAGTGCAGACAGCCCACCCCAGAGGTCCTACTGCCCACTGCACAGTGATGCCCAGCTCTCCCTGCCGCCTTCCCCTCCTCCCTCCCAGCTCCCTGACCTCAGTCTCCAAAATTATCCCCTGCAGCAGGCAGCTCAGGAAGGGCTGGGTCCTCAGCCAGAAGCAGGGGGTGAGGTGGGGGGAGGATCTCAGGATTGGGCCATCAGGGCCTGAGGAGGGTGGGGGGAGGCCCTCCTCAGCACCTGCCAGCATCAGGAGGACAGGTTGTGCGCTGCATGTGCCCAGAGAAAGGCCCCAGCGGCTGTCAAGGGAGCCTGACCCCTCCCTCTGCAACCCTACCCTCTGCAGTTTGGTAAAGAGGAGGGGTCATTCCCATCTAACAGAGCTGGAGTCCAAATGTCACGGGCTTAAGCTGAAAGGACACTCTCTCAGAGCCGGGCACCTGCTCTCCCACCCCACCTCCGCTGTGTGCCAGCTCCTGCCCTCTCTGCGCTGGCTCCTTGGCTTTATGTAGGGATGCAGCACCTGCCCACTCTCCACCTCTATTTTCTTAAGGAGAAGAGCACTGTGTGTGCTCACAGCTTAGGGGATGTTCCTTCCCACTGGAGGGTCACCGTGGACCCTGAGGGTTTGCTGGGGTTCCAGACCACATGCGTGGAGACCTTGGATTTCTCTGCAGATACAGACATGGAGATGGGGTGCTGAGGAATGGATGGAGGGGACGGGGTGTCTGTCATCGACTTCGGGGCTGCAGACATACGAAAATGCCAGCTCAGCCCCTGGGGAACCTGCCCCATCTGCTGTTTGCAGGGGAGTGGGAGCAGGAGGCAGAGGCTGGCTCAGGAGGGGCCCCATCTCTCCAGCCCCCACCGCCCAGTGCTCGCAGCACCATGGTCCCAGCACACAGGCCTAGGGTCAGCAGGCTCCGTCCCTCCCATCAGTCCACACCTGGTCAGCTGGAGTGGAAAGTCTTTCTCCTGAGCTTTGCCTGGACAGCAGAGAAACTGGTGCTGGGACAAAATTTGCTGAGAGAGAAGAAAGGTCCCTTCCAGTGCTGTCTCCCCCTTCCTCGTCCCTTCTCCAGACACAGCCCCTCCAGACCACTTGAATAAAAGACATAATTAGGCTGGGGAACTGCAGCAGGTTGAAGCTGCAAAGGCCTCAGAGCCTAGTCTTAGAGACACAGAGAGGTGACAGTCATTGGGAACAGACCTGGGGGTCCAATCCCTGCCCCACCCACAACTGAGAATTCTAGACCAGGAGACTGTATTTGTGCCCAGCCTGGGTCCAGTTCCTCAAGGATATGTGTCTGCCTGAGCCAGTGCCTGCGGGACATGGTATAGATGGGGAAACTGAGGCCCAGCCATGACTCACATCTAGCTTAGTGGGCTTGATGCTTTCATCCCCTGCCATCTTCTCCCCCCTCCCCATTCGCCAGTCTCCTCCCCAGAGGGTACAGAAGGCGGGGTGCCCTGTCCTGGCAGGATGAGAAACTGCCACTGGTGCCCAGAGCTTCAGGAAGTCACATGAGCATCCCAGGAACCTCTGGGAAGGGGTCTCCCTCAAGCTGTCTCAGTGCTGACTGAGGCAGGAGGAGCCCTGGTGGTGCCGTGGTTAAGGCATTCTCTGCTAACATAAAAGTGTCTGATTTGAACCCACCAGGCGTTCTGTGGGAGAAAGGTGAAATAGTTTTCATAAGGATTAATCACTCTTTGCTCAGGGTGGTAGAGGAAAGCAGGAGGACCCCAGGGGCATCCCCAGGGCCCTGCTCTCCTCAAAACCCCCAGCCCCGCTCCTTGGGCAGAAGAGATTCCAGCCAGCAGACACAGTGGGTTATCAAGTAAGCACCAGTGACCCAAACCTACTGAGACACAGGTGGTCTCTCCAAGCTCAAGCGGACCAGTGACTGGGCAAATCCTTCCCTTCTAGTCCGTCCAGGGGAGGGGGCTGGGACCAGAGGCCAGGAGAATCATTTCGTTTCCAGAACGTGACAGTTGCAAGCTCAACCAGACAGAAGTGTCTTTGGTGTGGAGTGGCCGTTCCATCAGTGGTGAAGGGGCGAAGGCGGTCTTGGGGTGCACGCACGCTGCCCCGGCTTACATGCAAGCTACAGTGACCCCACATGTCCATGGCTGCTGGAGGCTGGAGCCGCTACAGAAGAGTAAGTGGGCCCAGGACTGCAGCCACAGGACGCCCCCAATCCTGCCTCCTTCTTGCGAGTGACAAATACAAGGAGAACCAGGTGCCGAGAAGACTCCTGCGTTTGGTTCCATATTTAGAGTTGGCTTCTGTGGGGTCAAGCCTCCCTCAAAGCACTGATTTCTCCTCCTTGATAAGGTTCTAAAATAGATCGTCCTCACTTCTGTACTCTGGCCGGGATTGCAGTGATGTCAGGTCCACAAGCCTAACCGTCCACGTCATCAATCCAATTGCCTTCTCGAAGGGTGGCTGCGACATGCTTGTGGGGGCCACAAAGGGGTCCTCACACCTGGTAGGTAAACTCGCCCTGGGTGGGAGGGAAGGAAGGAGATCCAGAGAAAAAGGGGGCCTTTTCATTTCCCATATTGTCCGTGCACCCGTTGGCAGAAAGTACAGCAATTCTCCATTCATGAGAAATTCCCAGAAGTGAATTTTCCATCAAATGGAGGCTCCCTCCTTTAAATGCTTTCTTTCAAGTGCCCAGCACGAGCTGAGCTCCTACTGTGTGCAGGGCTCTGCTGGAGCCCCCGGAGGTGCCATGCTTCCTGAGGGGCTCACAACAGAGTTCATGGGGAAGACTTGGCACACGCAGCAGCAGCACACAGGGCTCAGTGCTGGAGCAAAAGGTAAACTGAGGCCCGAAGGTGTGAGAGATGTGCGCGCATGCGCATCAGCGTGCACGTGGTGGG